ATAGACAATTTCATATTGAGAGGTACTTACACTATTTTTCCCCACAGATTTAATAAATTCTCAACCAAGATAACTCAACACCAGCAGAACCATATGGACACATAAGCCAGAAATCTGAAAGTCATCTCTCACTACCCACACCCAATCCATTATGAAGTTCTGTTCATTCTACCTCCATAAAATGTACCTCGAATATAGTCACTACTCTCTGTCCCAATTAGCTGTCCTAATCCAAACCACCATCACATACCTTACTTAGGGCTAGTGCTGTAGCTTCCTGATTCTCCCATTCCAGTCCACTCTCCACACAATTACCAAAATGATCATTGTAAATCTAAATGGGGTAAGTTACTTCTCTACTTAAAACCTTCAATGGCTTCCCACTTTCCTAAGAAAAAACAACTCCTTCATGCTCTATCACCAACCATCTCTCTAACCCTCTTTCCAAATCCCACCCCGCCACCCCTACCCACTGGATTCCAACCATAAATGCCTCTTTTAACTCCACCAGGCTTCTTCATTTTAGGGCTCTCCTGCTCGCTCTGCCTGGACCACTCAGTCCTGACTCTCTGAATGGCTTCTTCAGTTTTCACCTCCTCAAAGAGGTATTCCTTGACCTCCCACCATGCAGCAGGTCCCCCATCACTTAATCCTGTGCTTTACACTCACTTATTTAACGTCTATTTCCCTTCTCTGAACAATAACCTCCTTGAGGGCAAGTTCTGTTTTGTTCACCCTCTATTTTCTCAGTTAAAACAGTGTCTGACATATAGGAGGTACTCAGTAAATATTTATGAATTAATGAGAATGCCATTATTACTAAATGCTCACTCTGCGATACAAGATTGCTTTCTTATAAAACTAAGAAATTACAGCTATGGCAAAAGAGAATAAAGTGGCTATGTAAGATTTTTGTCATGGTTTTATCACTTGAAAGTAAGCACTCACAGATGCAAGGCAGAAATGAAGAAGGTGATAACTATGAATACCAAAAATCTTAACAATATCCAAATACAATGATTTGCACATAATATGGGTTTTATAACTTGAAATGGGGTTGCTCAAATGTTTAGCTGTCTACATTATGTATTAAACCCTCTATAAAAGTCATTTTTGTTGCCCCCATAAGCTCTTTCCCCTTTATTTAATTCTTCAGCATTTAAAACAAAGTCAGAAGCACACAATTAATATTCTCCTAGGCTTGTTCTTTGTCTCCATAATCTTTAGACAGTTTAATCTAGGACAGACTTCTACATTTTTTGCATCTTTTTTAGTACAAGATAAATAGTAGTCCTAAATAAATGCCTGTTTGTTGTTACTAAAGAAATGAATTAAATCACTCAGCACTAAATAAAGGTTTTCTTAGTATATATTCTTTAGTATACTTTTCTTTAATATCTCTTTATTCAGTTAATCTTCTATTTTATGGATTAACTTTAATTACCTTGTAAGCTTATTAAAATTATATCTTCTTTAACTCAGTTACATAGTTTTAGCAGATATACTGGATTCCTTGTATAAATATGTGTACATAAAAGTGTATAATATTCTTTATACATTTGTAGGAAATTAAGATTTTTTAGGAGCTATTATTTAATTGAATTTATGTAAACTACTAGCAAAAGGATTTTTTCAGAATAATTTAGAGACTTATAAAGGTCATTATTCTCTATCCTTCATCTTTTAATTCTGCTTTATGAACCTTGAAAATTCCGTATATTGTGAGTGGACCAGAGTTAGTCTGCTCAACAATAGGGTATATAGTATGCTCGATACTTTTTTGCTTTAAATCGAATTCACTTACCTACAATAACTCTTTAGTCAAGAAGACCTAACCATCTGGTCCATTCAACTATGACTTGACTGGCATTTCCAGGTGTCATGCTAACAAGCTTAGGTTAGTTAATAACACTGGTGCTGAGTGTGAGATTAACCCTGGACTATACAGACTAACTTCCATTGAAATTATGACATACTTCTGGGAAAACAGATATGAGAAATCTTGATTCACTTCTGAATCATGTGCAATGCCAGAATAAACATTTTCTCAATTCACAATTTTAACCAGTAAAAAAAACTCATATTGCCTACATGGAAATGTGGGCATCTCGTAAAAATAACAGGTACCTCCCTGATCTAAATCAGTAACTAGAACCATGCTATATATGCCTAATAATAAAACCCAAGGAAACACTAATAATTACTATATTTTAAACACATATAAATTTATTAAAAAGTATGAAAAAATTACAACCAAACATTAAACCAGAACAAAGTATACAAAACTCATTACCAGTAAACATAGTCTCCATTAGTGTGTAACCTCCCTAATTCCCATTAGCAGGTAATTTCCCTAAGGACACATAGGCTGTTATCTGTTTTGTTCATTCAAGTTATTACAAAGAACAGCACTTGACATAGCTATAAATAAATAATAAATATTATGTATTAAATATTTACTATTTTATATTAATAATCAGTACATATTAGTCAGAGGAAAGAATGTTTTAATCAAATATTTTTGCTTAAAGCAAAAAAACTAATTCTGATTGAACTGAGGAAGAAACAAAAGAAATATAAAACTAAAATTGTGAGGCCACGAGTCAATCTTTATTTGGTGATTCTTTAGCAGTCACCACACGGTGATTATTAGGAATATCAGTTAAATTATGTTATCAATGGTGTAGAAACACTGTTAATACAGATCTAAGTCAATAGAACACCAAATAAGATAGCTATGATTTTTTAAGACTAAGTTTTTTTTGTGAGCTACTGAAAAGTTGACTTCATTAAAATGTCTCTAATGAGAAAACGACTAAAGAAATCTTTACAACTTAAGACCTGGATTTCTCCATGTCTATCAGCTAATTTTCCAAGTGTTTTCATCATAATTCAAAGTGTATATCGTAACACTTCCTCCACTCAATGATCGGGTACAAAAGATCAGCCATCAAAAGCTCTGAAATTTTCTCCTGAAAATGGTAACATGCTACTAGAAAAAAATGGTAAATTCAAATCTTATTTCGCACCAACTTACTCTAACTTTCGGCAAGACTCTCCGAAGTGTCTCAGCAGGATTCTGTCGCATCAAAAATGGAAGATTTGCAATCACACTTGTTCCTTGGATATCTTGGCCAGCACTTAGAAAGAAAACACAAATTTAAAATTTGTAATTATATGATGAATTATTTTTTTTACAACTATAAAAAGCAGGGATTAGTTTGAAAAATGTCAGCATTTAATGATAAATACTCAGACATCTGACAAAGTTTTAAACTTTAAACACATCATTTAGATATAAAAATAAAACCACAACTGAAATTTCATTGAATGAAATCTTAGAGCAAATACATGAAGATATTATGTTTATGCTAAAACAAGAATCTCTACCTACATATGTCAAGTATAAAAGTCTTAACACTATTGTTAAGTACTTACTTTAAAATTCTACCTCATTTTTTCCTGGGACCTGCCAGTTTGCTGTACTTTATAAAAAGATATAAATGGTAAAATTTCATTATGGTAAAATATTAATAATCATAACAACAGCAAAGACAGCAAGAAAATCAACTACAGAAGAAAATACAACTTTCTTCTGGTATAAAGGAATTACCTGTCACACTAGATTGACCCTGACTTGCGAGAAATTTCTTAAAGATATGCACAATATTCTTAAAGATTAGCAGAGTATATTTCTATGGTACTTTTTTTATATAATATTCATTGAGTCACTAAGGTATTACCAGAATAATCTTAATGATACTATAGTGGCTTAAATACCTCAGAAATGGTGTTCAGATTCTAGAGAACAAACATTTCCATGCAAAAAGTTTTTTTGTTTTTAAAACATAGACTAAGTACATTGTGTAAGTACTTGAAATATACAGATTTAAAAAATGCTAGTAAATGTGGCACTGTCTCTGAGGAAAATTCTACTTTTTCTTAACTGGTACCAATTAAAATGTTAATTGCTAATGCCATAATACTTTTTTATTTATTTTAATTATTTTTCCTTCTGTCTGCAAATGGAACTATTTGCTGTTAAACGTATATAAGAAAAACCCTGTTATACTATGGTAGTGAAATATAGATCGGCACAATCATTCCACTATTCTCACCACTCTCTACGTGAATACTTTAAAAGACAAAACCAAGGAGAAAAGGTGGGGGGAGTGAAAAAGCAGACTCATGACAAGATAGTGAGAAGATCAAAATAGGGAAATTAAAATTGTACATAAAAACATTACTTCTAGTGGGTTGAATGTTGACCTCCCACATAAAATATGTCTATGTCCTAATCCTGGAACCTGTGAATGTTATCTTAGTTTGAAAAAGGATCTTCAGACCGAGCGATAATCCTGGATTATCCAAGCAGGCTATAAACCCAATAACAAGTGTCCTTATTGGCTACACAGCAGAGATAGTGATGCTGCTATGAGTTAAGAAATGCTAAAAACTACCAGAAGCCAAAGAGGCAAAAGAACAGATTCCCCATGAGAGTCCTGCTGACGCCTTGATTTCAACTCCATGATGCTGATTTCATACTTCCGGCTTCCAAAACTATGAGAAAATTAATTTCTGCTGTGAAGCCATTCAGTTTGTGGTAATTTACTATGGCAGCCATAGGAAACAAATATACTACACTAAAGAACTGAGAGGGAAGAGGAACATCTGAAAAAGTAATGTTTCATATTATAATACACAGCCCATAGTAGAGGTTCAGTAAATGTCTCTTAAAAGTCTGGGTGAATGGATGACTCATTGGATGAACTGATGTCAGGATATGATTCACAGGTTCCAACTTAATATTGAACATTGGTAAATTTTATTCACTAACTTTGCAATTATGGGGAAAAACATGGTGTTAGAAATATATATGAAGACAAACATTGCTTAGAAGAAATTTTTAAAAGAACAGAGAACAAAAAAATTAAATGGTAGATTTAAGTTCCAAAATATCAAATAATTATATAAAATGTAAATGGTCTAAATACATCAATTAAAAGACAGGAATTGGCAGAATAGATTAAAATCATAACTAAATGCAGTCTGTAAGAAACTAATTTCAAATATAACTAAATCAGCAGGATGAAAGTAAAGGATTTAAATGATATACCACAGAAACTTGAATCAAAGGAAAGCAGTAGTGGTTATACTAGCATCAGACAAAGTAAACCTCAGAGAAAACAAAACCCCACAGACAGACAGGGACATTACATAATGATAAAAAAGGCAATCCGCCAAGAAGACATAGCAATCTGAAATGTGTATACACCAAAGAGAGTTGGAAATAAGTGAAACAAAACAGAACTGAAAGGAAAGATAGACAAATACACAAGTAAATGGAGATTTCACAAACTCTCTTAATAATTGATGGATCAACTAGACAGAAAGTCATTAAGGATATAGAAGAACTCAACACCACCACCAACCAACAGGATCTAACTGACATTTATATAACATTTCATCTAACAACAGTAGAACACACTTTCTTTTAAGTGCCCAAAGAACATATATCAAGACTGGGAGAAATATTGGCAAACTTCATATTTGGCAAAGGACTGGTGTCAAGAATATAAAAAGAATTCTCAAAACTCAACAGTAATAAAACACACAATCCAATCAGAAAATGGGCATAAGACATATAGAGATATTTACTGAAGATGATATACAGATTATATATTAGCACATAAAAAGATGTCCAACATCATTAATCATTGGGTAAACATAAAGTAAAGCCACAATGAGATATCACTGTATGCTTATCAGAATGGCTAAAATCAAAAATAACAATAATACCACCAAATGCAAAGAAACTGAATCATTCATACATTGCCAGTGGGAATGTAACTGGTAGAACCACTCTAGAAATCAATTCGGCAGTTCCTTTAAAAACTAAACATGAAACAACACATAGCCCAGTGACTGCTGTCTTGGGGACTGATCCCAAAATGGAAACTTACGTTCACACAAAAACCTGTGGATGAATGTTTATAGTAGCTTTATTTGAACCAAAAAATGTAAAAAACCCATGTGTCTTTAAATGGGTAAATGGTTAAACAAACTGTTAATACATCCATACCACAGAATGTTACTCAGCAAGAAAAAGGAACCAACTATCGATTGATGCAAGAACTTGATGAATCTCCAGTGAATTATGCTGAGTGAAAAAAGACAACCCTGAAATATTACATAATTATATGATACCATTTATTCAACATTCTTAAAATGACAAAATTATACAAATTGAGAACATATTAGTAGTTTCCAGGATTTGTTAAAGATGGTTGTGGGACAGGTGGGAAACAGATATGACAAAGAAGTGTAACATGGGGAGGGAGGGG